TTTGTTTAATGGAAATATATTCCTAAGTGAAAATATAGGCTTCAAAATAACATGTACAATGATCTCATTCTTGTAAAAGTTAGATATAGATTCTACCTATGTATGTATATAAAAAAGTCTGAAAAAAACATATACCAAAATGTTAATAGTGGTTATTATAGGGTAATAGGATTATGGGCAATTCTTAATTTCTACCATTGCCTTATCTATGAAATCTCTAGTTTTTTTGTTTGTTTAATAATAAACATGTATTACTTGTTTACTTGTGCATATAAAATTATATATCATTTCCCCATGTGTCTACAGACTGGCAGGATACCTGTTCGCCACACCTATTTAAGATTCTTCTGTCATCCCATTTAGGACTGTTTGGCAAACAACTAAGGAAAAAAGAAAAAGAAAAACATTGAGAACCGTAGATTATGTTTGGAAAACTTCTGTCTTGTGTAGGCCATGTCTGTGATGGGAAAGATGAGCTAGGCTTGTCTTCACTCCTTTTTGGAAAGCACAAATCTTTAGATTAAACATGGCTGGTCAACTTCTAGAATTTCCTTTTCCTCAGTAACAGATCAGTGTAATAAATATAAAAGTGTCTGCTGATTTTCAAATTCAAATCATCTACGCTGTGCAGAAGTCTCACCAGCACACCTGGGTTCCCTTTCCAAAAGCCGTGTGATTGTCACATTCTGCACATCTGGATGGCAGTAATCTGGGCTGGGTAAACCAGTCCTTTGAGAGGAAGAGGCTTACTTGGTTTTGCCCACTATTTTGACTCTGTTGTTCAAGTAGGCCCACCAAAACCTGGTATCTATTTCAAACACTTTTTGAAAGGGTCTGTAACTTGGGTTTTATAAAGATGGCATAAATGCTGTGGAGAATGAATTAAAGCACCAGTCACCTTTCTATGCACAGAACTCCAGCTGGAAAGGAAGGACATGCAATGAGTTCTGCCATTTTCTCTTTCTCCTCCTCACTAAAGAATTTGGAGATAGGTCTTTACTAGACTAGTTCTGATTCAAACTGACATCTTTTCTAAGTGCTCTTATCAGATAAGGTCCCAATTGCCCTGGGATAACTGTATCTTGCTTATTTCTTAATTACAGAGTCTTTGTTTCTGGTAGAAAAAGGATTGAGATATTGGCTGTTGTAGGTTTCCTCCTGTTTCCGATGGGGGGACCAAGACTGTTTGTACTTCCTTACCTTGGGAACTTTTGCAGGGCAGAGAGGAGAAGCTGCTTGATGGTGAAAGTTCCTTCAGTGTTTTATAAAGCCTTAAACTCTTCTAAGAGATGGAGTTGGATGTTATGGAGAGGAGTGGTGAAGAGGGATCACTATTAAGCACAAGGAGAGAGTGGGGGGTACCAGATATTAAGAAGGATCTGAAGACTGGCCAGTAGAGAAAACAGCAGGAACCCATGCCCTGCTCCCTAGCAGTGCCCTTGGAGGAAGCAAGACTTCCAAGAGTAAAAAGATGGCTGGAGAACCTAGAAAAGATGGGGTAGGCTCTCTGCTTTGGGCAGTCAGTCTTCAAAGGACCATGTGAACTTAAACCGTGACGATAACAGAGGTAGAGACCTGAGGATTTGCCCTCTTTTCAGAGTTCCTTGTGAATCTTTCCGATACTAGGAACTGGAATGAAATCTTAGCGATCGTATCTCTCCAGCCTGAATAATATGAGCTTTGAGGTAGATTTAAATTGAAGAAAAGAAAACTATGTTTCTGGCTCTGATGTCACTGGCCCTAAGTTCATCAGAAACATTCTTTAGACTACCTTGTTTCTCTTCAGTATGCCTCCCACTTGATCCCTATGGTCATATAGATTTCTGCATTTTGTGGTTCTACGAAGAGATCAGCTGGACTTTTCCCTCTGTGAGGATTAGTATATTTTTTGGGTTGGGGGGAGGTCAGAAGCTGACTTTTTTAAGAACTGTGGTCATTGATGAGATTGCAACCCCTTTGTGTGGGAAAAATAACTCCCAGTTTGGAGCTAAGAAATTCCACCGATTTTTGTAGCATCATGACATTTCCTATACCACATTGTTAAGCATCACCTCTCTTTCCCACCCCAACAGCAGCTCCAGCTGCAATTGTTTCCCTGTTCTTAGGAGCAGATCATCTGTTTTTATCTGCATCATTAAAAACTATGCAGTCGATGATTCATTGGTTTATGTCATGGTTTCTAAGGCTGTGATGATAAAATGTCATTGTGAGTAAGTCACTATAAGTTTGAGTCTCTAATAGTTGTTGCTCATGCAGCAAATGAGACTATGATGCAGGTTGGATTAATAAGGATGATACAGCATGAAAATGGACATTATAAGCTACAGATGATGAAAAAAGGCAAAGAAGGCAGGAGCTCTGCTCTCAGGTTTCTGAAGTCCCAGAAATAACAACATAGTCACCAACAACTGTGTTGCTGTTGTTAGGTGCCATTGAGTCATTTCCTACTCATAGCGACCCTATAGGATAGAGTAGAACTGCCAACCTTTTGGTTAGCTGCCAAGATCTTAACCACTATGCCACCAGGGCGCTGCCAACAACTATAATACATTAAAAAACTTAAAATAAGGTGAGAATTAATAAGGGCTGGAATCAAGGGGATACTACGTGGTTTAAAGTTAGGAAAGATGTGCATCCGGGTTGTATCCTTTCACTAGACTTATTCAGTCTGCATGCTGAATTAATAATCTGAGAAGCTGGACTATGTGAAGAAGAGCAGGGCATCAGGATTAGAGGAATGTTTATTAACAACCTGTGTTATGCAGATGACACAACCTTGCTTGCTAAAAGTGTAGAGGACTTGAAGCACTTACTGAGGAAGATCAAAGACTACAGCCTTCAGTACGGATTACACCTCAACATAAAGAAAATAAAAATCCTCACAACTGCACCAATAAGCAGCATCATGATAAACAGAGAAAAGATGGAAGTTGTCAAGGAGTTCATTTTACTTGGATCCACAATCAACATCCATGGAAGCAGCAGTCAAGAAATAAACCTATGCATTGCATTGGGCAAATCTGCTGCAAAAGACCTCTTTAAAGTGCTAAAAAGCAAAGATGTCACTTCGAGGACTATGGTGCACCTGACCCAAGCCATAGTGCCTTCAATCACTCCATATGCATGCAAAAACTGGACAATGGATAAGGAAGACTGAAGGAGAATTGACACCTTTGAATTGTGGTGTTGGCGAAAAATATTGAACATACCATGGACTGCCAAAAGAGTGAACAGACCTGTCCTGGAGGAAGTACACAATGCTCCTTAGAAGCAAGGATAGCCACGCTACATCTCACATACTTTGAACATGTTATTAGGAGGATCAGTCCCTGGAGAAGGACATAATGCTTGGTAAAGCAGAGGGTCAGTGAAA